TGGTTGGTTGGTTGGTTGGTTGATTGATTGATTGATTGATTGATTGATTGATTGATTGATTGATTGATTGATTGATTGATTGATTGATTGATTGATTGATTGATTGATTGATTGATTGATTGATTGATTGATTGATTGATTGATTGATTGATTGATTGATTGATTGATTGATTGATTGATTGATTGATTGATTGATTGAAAATATATTTATTTCAGTTATCCGGGCTGAAGGAATTCGCTGAGAGGTTGTTGCAGGCAAGTCATTTCGATGCTTCCAACATCAAAGATACTCTTGAGAATGCCGTTACTAGGTTCAATCAATCAACCAATTAATCAACCAAACAATTAATTATTCAACCAATCAATCATTCTTTTATTTATTCATTTTTTCACATTCATTCAATTGTTCAATCAATCAACTATCAACTGCTGATAAAATCAATCGATCGATTGTTCGACAATCAACCATTCGATTGAGTAATCTGTGATCTCAATCAATCGATCGTTTATTCATTTATTTATTTTTCATTTGTTTATTCATTCATTCATTTGTTCATTCAGTCAATCATTCAATCAATCAATCATTCAATCAGACGAGCCACCGTGAAAGAGTTATGCTCTGATCAGAGATCGAAGCTGTCCGATAATCTTCTTTACGTTCAATTTAACAGAGATGTTAATGAGGTGGGCTGTTGTTGTTGGTGTTATTATCAATCAATCAATCAATCAATCAATCAATCAATCAATCAATCAATCAATCAATCAATCAATCAATCAATCAATCAATCAATCAATCAATCAATCAATCAACCAATCAATCCAATCAATCAATCCAATCAATCAACCAACCAATCAATCCAATCAATCAATCCAATCAATCAACCAACCAATCAACCAACCAATCAATCCAATCAATCAACAACCAACCAATCAACAACCAACCAATCAATCAACCAACCAATCAATTAATCCTACAGGCGGAAGGATGGATCGAAGACAGACTGAAAGTCGTGAAGGAGGAAGACTTCACGAATGTCAAGGACATCCATGACAAGTTGAAAAGTTTGAAGAAGCACCAAGCATTCGAAGCAGAGATCTTCGCCAACTCCGAGAAGATCAAGTCCATCAAGAATGTGTGTGTTTGTCATGTTGTGTGTGTTTGTCATGTTGTGTGTGTTTGTCATGTTGTGTGTGTGTGTGTGTGTGTGTACCGGTTGCTCATTTGTTTCATTTCTTTGTTCTTCATTCGGTCGTTCATCGATTCACTTTATTATTTATTCGTTAGTTCGTTTGTTCGTTCATTCGTTCGTTTATTTATGATTCAATCATTTAATCAATCGTTCGTTCGTTCGTTCAATCATTCATTCACTCGATCATTCATTTCTCGTCATCCTCCACTCACACAGTCCGGAGAATCCCTGCTGAAGAATCATCACCCGAAATCCTCGGAGATCCAGTCGCGCGTGAACTCCCTGATCAAAAAGTGGAACGACCTCCTGCAGGCCTCGAGCAACAGGGGCAGAGGTCTCGAAGAGGTCAAGGACATACTCAAGTTCAACGAGGAGGCCGAGAAAGTCGAAGCCTGGATCAGAGAGAAGGTTTGGGAGATTGGTTGGTGCGTAGGTGAATGAATGGATGAATGAATGATTGAAGGAATGAATGAATGAATGAATGGATGGATGGAGGGAGGGAGGGAGGGAGGGAGGGAGGGATGAATGAATGAATGAATGAATGAATGAATGAATGAATGAATAAATGAATGAATGAATGAATGAATGAGTGAACGAATGAATGAATGAACGAATGGATGAACATTTACAAACTCTCCCACAGGAATTGTTGGTGTCTGCATGTGACCTTGGCAGAGATTACGAACATTGCCTTGATGTTCAGAAGAAAGTCAACGATGTGAAGGGGTCAGTTGTATGCTG